CCACTGATGAGTGCTCTTACCCCCGGCCTCCCTGGCTGGGCATGGGAAGGATTGCATTGTGCACCCAGGGACCCATGGTGCCTGACCTCCTCATCCTCTTCCCCCACAGGGATCAGCAACAACCCGCCCAGCCAGATGCACCTGAACTCAGCTGCTGCCCAGAGCCCCATGGGCATGAACCTGCCAGGCCAGCAGCCCCTGTCCCATGAGCCCCCGCCTACCATGCTGCCCTCTCCCACCCCTCTGGGCTCCAACATTCCACTGCACCCCAATGCACAGGGGACAGGAGGGCCCCCTCAAAACTCAATGATGATGGCTCCAGGGGGCACAGACTCCCTAAATGCTCCCTGCGGGCCTGTGCCCAGCTCCTCCCAGATGGTACCCTTCCCTCCTCGGCTGCAGCAGCCCCATGGTGCCATGGCCCCTGCTGGAGGTGGGGGCGGGGGGTCTGGCCTGCAGCAGCACTACCCTTCAGGCATGCCCCTTCCCCCAGAGGACCTGCCCAGCCAGCCACCTGGCCCCATGCCTCCCCAGCAGCACTTGATGGCTAAAGGTGTGGCTGGGCGCATGGGTGACACATACCCCCCAGGCGTGCTTCCTGGGGTGGCATCAGTGCTGAACGACCCTGAGCTGAGCGAGGTGATCCGGCCTACCCCAACGGGAATCCCTGAATTCGACTTGTCCAGGATCATCCCCTCTGAGAAGCCAAGCAGCACCCTCCAGTACTTCCCCAAGACCGAGAACCAGCCCCCCAAGACCCAGCCCCCCAATCTGCATCTCATGAACCTGCAGAACATGATGGCGGAGCAGACTCCCTCTCGGCCCCCCAACCTCCCAGGCCAGCAGGGTGTCCAGCGGGGGCTCAACATGTCCATGTGCCACCCCGGACAGATGTCCTTGCTGGGCAGGACAGGTGTGCCCCCACAGCAAGGCATGGTGCCTCACGGCCTGCACCAGGGGGTCATGTCCCCGCCACAAGGCCTCATGACCCAGCAGAATTTCATGCTGATGAAGCAACGAGGCGTGGGGGGTGAGGTGTACAGCCAGCCCCCCCACATGCTCTCCCCACAGGGCTCCCTCATGGGCCCCCCACCCCAGCAGAACCTCATGGTGTCCCACCCCCTGCGGCAGCGCAGTGTGTCTCTGGACAGCCAGATGGGCTACCTCCCGGCACCTGGCAGCATGGCCAACCTGCCTTTCTAGAAGTCCCTGCTGGGGGCTGGAGCCGGGGCAATGTTGCAAATAACGATAACCTTAAAAAGTTCTTCCCCTCCAGTGTTGGGATGGCCTGGGTCAAGGGATGGGGTGGAGAGGGTGGGACGGGGCTTGTGTGGGGCGTGGCGTTTGTGGAAACCAGATGTGCTGGCAGCTTAGGGGGAGGTGGCAGAGCGGGGTGGGGTATTTTGGTTTGGGGTTTGTTCCATTTCGGCCACCAGGGCTGCCCCTCCCTACTGCTCCCAATTCCTATGGAGCCTCTTACTTTCCTTCTTCCCCTGCACCCTGTCTCCGTTCCACTGTGCTTTTGGGGGAGAGAGGAAGGAGAGGAGAGGTCTCCCCTGTCCCTTCCTGTTGCTGTCTTGTCTTGTCATTGCTCGAGACCCACCTTCCTCCTCTTGGTTCCTCTGCGCTCACTGTTTTTCCCTCTGTCTTCTCCTGCCTCATTTCCCCTTCCTGCTGACGTGGCTGACCCCCCTCTCCCACTCCCTGCAGGCGGCTGGCCAGGTGGGCAGGTGCCAGCCCTAGCTGTAAATAGAGCTCTGCGCTTTCGTGCCGGTTTGTGCGTGTGCTGTATTTCTGTGTTTTGATAGAAGTCACACAAAAAAAAAAGGATAAAAGAAACCCTTCCCCTTTCTTCAAATTATCGCCCCCCTCCATTCCCCTGGACCTAGGGACATGAGCCCCACACACCCACTGTTTGCAGTGTCTCTGGGTCCAGAAGGGATACCATTCCTGTCTCCTCCCCAAATGGTAAAATGACCTAGCTGCCCCACACCTAAACTGAGGTCAGACCACCTAGGCTTCCACCTGGTGAGCCCCAGCAGGGCTGAGACCTCCAGGGCAGCAGCCTGTCTGCTGCTGAGTGATTCAGGGAGAACATGCGTGTGCGTGCATGTGTGTTTGCCCACACCGGTGACATGGGGCCCTGGCTTCCTGCTGTGGATGTCTGGGTGTCCTCTGCTGCTACATCTTAGCCAGAACTTGAAGTCCTTTATCTCCAGTCTGGGATGAAGAAAAGGAGGAAGAGGCGGCAGCTGTGTGTCCCTGTTGAGTGCCGCCATGGAGGGGGTGGCATGTTGCCTCTGGGCCTGTGGCCACAGTTAGCGCTGGGCCAGGTACCCTCCAGGGCCCTGACTTTTCTAGAGGCTGCCACCTACTTAAGGAACAGGGCTTGTCTGAGTCAGCCTGCCTCCCCTCCAGCCTCCACCCCCTGAGGATGGAATAGGGAATACAGAGCTCCCTGCTGCCTCCTCTCTGCCTGCCCACTCACCGGCAAGATCCCTCTGCCCAGGGCTCAGGACCACGTACCAGACCTGTCTGTGCCCACCCAGGCGCAGCCACTGCCGCCCCTCAGCTCCCTGCTTTTCCCCAGAAGAGCTCCCCCTCTGCCTCTGGTCAGAGCTGAAGCCATATATGACTGGGTGTTTTGCTCCCCTCGGCCCCAGGAGTAAAAACTTCTCCTTTTCTCACTTCCTTTCCTGCCTTGTGAGGTAGCGGGGCAGTTCCCTGGCAGGGCCAAGGGCCATTCTAGACAGGGTGTCTTCTACCAGGGTCCTGTCCCAGCCTCCCTAACCTTCAGGGCCTGGTCTCACATTGGCAGCTGTAATACAAAGGGAACTCGCCCCCACTCCTCCCAGTCTGGTGCTGTGCTCTCAGTCCACCGCCAGCCAGGCCTAGCGCTTCCTCCGGGCTGGCCGCAGGCTCCTAACTCCCTGGCATCCGCCAGGGGCCATGGCTGGAGCCTCTGTGTGCAGGGGCCACCTGCCCTCCATCCTGCCAGGCGCTTTGCCCGCCTGCCTCAATCTGGGCCCTGTGCCCATGACTGCGCCCGCCACCCTGTCTGACTCTAAATGTTTTCTGCCCTGAGGACAGAGGGGTCAGACGGTAAGAGGCCCAGTGTCCTCCCTGTCCCCTCTTCTCCCACCTCTGCCACAGGCCAGCCTACTTCCCTCCATCCATGGCCATATCCCCAGCCATTTTGTACCATTATATAAATATATATATAAATATAAATATATAAATACAATATGTGAAGACATCTTCTTGGTTTTTATTTTGAAACAATTTTTAGGCTTGTTCCGGGGGTCTCTGTGCTGCCTGTACTGTATTGACCTGTTTTATAGGTGCCTTTTTATTAAAAAGAAAATTCAAAATCCAGCCTCTGTTTGTTTCCTCGTCTGGCTCCTTCACTGCCACTAGATGCGGGGAGAAGAAAGGGGGACCCCAGGGCTTCCTCAGCGTTCCACGGTGAAGACATAGTCCCCTGGGCCACAGCTGTGGTCTCCTCTGGCTTGAGTGAGACTGGGCAACTCAGATGCACCCTTGGCAAGTGCAGGGTCCCTGACTCCCCACCCCAGATCAGGGGCTGGGGAGGAGAGAGGGAGAGCTCAGAACTGCCTGGCAGTCCCCACCCCGAGTGAGCATGGAGCAGCTTCCTCTGGTTCCATCTGAGTAGTGTCCTCTTGGGCAGGGCATGGCCTCCTGGGACCGGGGGACTTCCCTGCTCTGGCCTGTTTCTTGCCCTGCCCTGGTTTAAGGTGACGCCAAGGCTGGGAGCTGGAGGAGATGACTCCCAGAGGGCCCCTTTCAGTCTGTCTCTCCCCTTAGGGGTCTGTGTCTTCATTATGACTCTTCTCTAAGTGTTCCTCCTGCTGTGACTGGGGCCCTCTGCTCCTCCAGTGATTCCACTGGTCCTGGAGCCTGTGGGAAGGAGGAGAGAGGAGACAAACCGGCCGCCTTCCCCATCAGGGCCCGGCGGGGAGGGGGTTGATTTATACTTGTTCTCTTTGGGGTTGGGAAAGGAGTCTTTTCTCTCCTCAGTTGGACTCTACTCTTGGTGCTCAGCCTTTGCTCTTCCTCTGGGTCCTGGCCAGCCTCCACGGGCACCTGGAGTTGGCCCTCAGTCTGCCAATGTCATGGGCCCCAAGGACATGGAACCTGACCCAGGACTGTTTTGATCAGAGCCAGGGCCAGTTACCTGAACTTGACCATTTGAGCTTCCTGCAGGGTTGGGGGCCTGGCAGAATGTTTTTAGGGACTAAGATGTGTTAACTCTACACTCTGCTGCCGGCTGGGCTTTTTTTTTTTTTTCTTCTTGAGACAGAGTCTCACTCTGTTACCCAGGTTGGAACCCAGTGGCGTCATCATAGCTCTCTGAAATACCGAACTCCTGGGTTTAAATGATCCTCTTGCCTTAGCCTCCAGAGTAGCTGGGGCTACCACTGCACCTAGCTAAATTTTCCATTTTTAGTAGAGAGGGGTCTCACTCTTGCTCAGGCTGGTCTCATACCCCAGATCTCAGGCATGAGCCACCACACCCAGCCTTCAGCTCCAACCTCTACTCATCCCCTGCTACTCAGCTTCTCCCGTCTTCGTTCCGCAGGTGGTGTAGGAGGAGAGAGGGGTAGCTGTGAAGTTCGGTGGCCCTCACAATGATGGAGTGCATTCTGGGAGGGGCGGACTGACTTTCCCTACAGGCAGAAGTAACCGCTGTTTCTTGAGCTTTAGAAGGTTCAGATGAGAGAAGGTGTATGGGGTCTCAGCCCAAGGAGATGCGGGTGGGTATAGATATCCTTGGCTCTGCCTTTGGTCTCCTTTCCCCTCCCTGGGCTCCAGCCTAGCCCCAGCGCTGACAGAAGAGCTGGCACGGTTGTCCTAGAAAGAGGAGTTCGTCCATCCGAGGACGCCCACTAGGTGGGCTCTTAGGATCCCAGCTCTTGTTGGAAGGGCTTCCAGCGTCACTGTGCGCCCCAAGGAAAGCAGAAATAAAGGGGCACTGGGACCTAAAAGGTGGTGAGGGAAGTGGCATTCTCCGACTCGGAGAGACTGCTCCTGCGCCAACTGGGGAACAGCTGGCAAAGGGAGGCAGGGCCGGCACAGCCCAGCTTGGTCAGGAGCCGAGACAGGTCACTGCGGAACTTCACACCCGCGAATGTGTAGAGCATGGGGTTGAGGCAGCAGTGGGCCAGGCCCAGGAACTCACAAGTGGTGATGGCCATGGGGAGAGAGCTGTTCAGCTCGCAGCTGTTGCCCACGGCCTTCAGCCTTGCCAGGGTGTCCAGGAAGATGACAATGTGGTAGGGTGACCAGCAGAGAAAGAAGATGCTCGTCACCAGGATGGCCACCCTGACCGCCTTCTGCCGCTGTGGACGCCGCTGGGCCTGACGCAGCCTGTGCACCACCCCCACGTAGCACCAGCACATGACCAGCATGGGTAGCAGGAAACCCCCGAGGTGGTAGAGGAAGCGGGAGATGAACCAGGCATAGGTTTCCGCTTGGCTTTCTTGGGAGAACGTGCAGTGCTGCAGGGAATCATTTTGATGGGGCTGGCTGACCTTGGCGAAGAGAATCTCTGGTAAGGCAAAGATGAAGCCCGACAGCCAGATGGTTGCGCAGGTGATGTGGATGGAGATGAGGCGGCGGTGGCGGTAGGCGTGGACGGCATGGACAATGGCCAGGTAGCGGTCCACAGCAATGCAGGCCAGGAGCAGGCTGCTGCAGTAGAAGTTGATCTTGTGCAGAGCAAACACAGTTTTGCAGAGGAAGGTCCCCAGAACCCATCCCACCGAGCCCTCGGCCACAGCAAAGGGCAAGATGAAGACCAGCAGGAGATCAGCTACGGCCAGGTGGAACAGGAAGGTCTCGGTGGAGCTGCGCGTCTGCCGGTGCCGCTCCAGGATCACCAGCACCAGGATGTTACCCATCAAACCCAGGAGGAAGATGAGGCTGTAGGCCACGGGCATGAACACAGCCTTGAAGGTCGTCATGATGGGCCCCTCTCCCGTGGAGCAGAGGTGATTTTCCACGTGGGGGGAGTCTGTGCTGTCATTGTAGTTGTCCAATTCCCTGTACTGCAGGGGCGAGAAGACAGGAGGGTGAGGAACCCTAACTCCTTTGGAGACTTCATCCTTTCCCTCTGGGCTTACTGCTTTTGTCCTCGCACTCCCAAATGTCCCACTGACCACATTTCAAATATTCAGATTTCAGGGGCATGTCATGGTGGCTCATGCCTGTAATCCTAGCACTCTGGGAGGCCGAGGCGGGTGGATTGTCTGAGCTCAGAAGTTTGAGACCAGCCTGAGCAAGAGCAAGACCCCATCTCTAAAAAATAAACTATCCGGGTATGGTGGCAGGAGCCTATAGTGCCAGCTACTCAGGAGGCTGATACAAGAGGATCACTTGAGCCCAAGAGTTTGAGGTTGCTGTGAGCTATGACACCATAGCACTCTACACCAGGGCAACAGAGTGAGACTCTATCTCAAAAAAAAAGAAAAAAAATTCAAATTTCAATTTCGAACAGACCACTTTGTCCTTTCCAACTTCACTTTTCATCTGTAAAAGGGACTAATTCCCTAGAGAGTAGTAACGATGAGAAAGGGAGCTACATGGGGTGGTCGTGCCTTGTACACTGAAGGGCTGTGGCCCTGTAAGTTATTTTGTGTGTACGTGTCCTTAGGCGCAGATACCTGCAGGCTCAGGGGCTGAAATCACAGGACTTCAATTCTGGGACTGGATGTGGTCCAGGAGGCTTCTGTTCTAATTCTGAGCGGAACAGTGGGCATGACATCCTAGGACCCCACTGGGGGTGGAGGGTGCTTATGTGGCCCGCTGGCTTCCTCTTGACTAGTCCCTCCATTCCTGACTATCTTCATTATCAAAGCCTATAGCTCAGTGGGTGGGGCACTGGCCACAGACACCAAGGCTGGTGGGTTCCAACTCACCCTGGGCCAGCTAAAACAACAATGACAACTGCAAAAAAAAAAAAAAAGCCAGGTGTTGTGGCGGGCACCTGTAGTCCCAGCTACTCAGGAGGCTGAGGCAAGAGAATCACTTAAACCCAAGAGTTTAAGGTTGCTGTGAGCTGTGACACCACAGCACTCTACTGAGGGTACCTTAGTGAGACTCTGTCTCAAAAAAAACAAAACAAAACAAAACAAAAAACGGTAGTAACAGCCAAAATGGTAGTTTCTGCCAGTAACATCTGGTTTAATCCACACAACAAGTTCAAGCTATGTAAGGAATATTACTGCTATTTTACAGATAGGTCTTGCTAAAGATCAGCTTTGTTTAAACTGACATATAACTACCTCCAGCTTGCCCCTCAGCAGCACTGCCTGAACTTCCTTCCCTCTAAGGCAGGTGCAACAACCGCTACTCCCCACAGCAAGGAGAGCTGGAAGCCCAGAGGTAGAGAGGAGGGAGGCTGGGAGGGAGACAGAGGGACCAGGCACAGAAGAGGGAGGTAGCCTGTCCCAAATAAAGGGGGCATGTCCTCTGTGTCTGCGGAAGTTCCCTCCTCCCCTCTTCCTCTTCCACCCCTTCCTCCTCCTCCTTCTACGCCTCATCACACTCCCATCACGCCAGCACTCAGGTTGTTTACCTAGCAAACCGCAAAGGAAGACTGTAGTGCCTGTTTTCACACCTTTCACTCACAGCTCCCCTCTGCACCTGCTCCTCCTCACTTCCCAGCTCTGTTCTTCCCGCTCCTCCCCTATGAACCCTCTCCCCCTGGCAATTCAAAACCCAACGATGAGCCCCAGGGAAGCAGAGAATGGGATGGGGTACTCTGTTTGCCAGGCTCTGGGTGGTCTGGCATTGCCTCCCTTTCAAGGGAGCAAGGGTTGATTGCTCTTGGCTACCATGAGGCTTTTTTGCCACCCAGGAGCCCCAGTGATGGGCCACACGCTCACTCCCAATGTGGGCGGACCCATTTCTCTACCCTGGTGTTTCCTTCTGGTCCCTGGGGCAGGTGGTCTGTGAGAAGGGGGTGCAGGAGACACATTAGTGCAATAGCAGCGCCATCTGCCCCCACCCCAGCATCCCTCTGCCATTGCTTCAGGCCAGTTCTTCTTCACCCTAGTGCTCCGTGGCTCTCCTTCCTGCCCACTTCTTCACTCCTGTCCACTTCCTCACACAGGGTGAGTTTCCAACACACAAATCCCACCGCCTCCTTAGAGCCCTTTACTAACTCCCCATCACCTGTAAGCAGAGGTTTTCTTTTCTTTTTTGTCTATATATTTTTTTAACGTCACAATTAGTAGCAAAGCCAGTTGTAAGAAGAAGTCATGTTTGTGATAATGTTTGTTAATATAAGGTTGGACGGCTCGGCGCCTGTAGCTCAGCGGCCAGGGTGCCGGCCACATGCATGGGGGCTGGCGGGTTTGAACCCGGCCTGGGCCTGATAAACAACAATGACAACTATAACAACAACAACAACAACAACAACAAATAGCTGGGCATTGTGGTGGGCGCCTGTAGTCCTAGCTACTTGGGAGGCTGAGGCAGGAGAATTGCGTAAGCCCAAGAGTGTGAGGTTGCTGTGAGCTGTGATGCCACAGTACTCTACTGAGGGTGACATAGTGAGATTCTGTCTCAAAAAAAAAAACAAAGCTGGAGTAAGCCAAGGTCAGTGTGTTCACTCAACAGAATGCTCGAAAAGAAACGGGATTTGTTGCATGTCCTCTAAGGAAAAGATATTTAAATATCTTATTTGGTCTTTACATAGTCTTTAACTCTTATTTAGATTTTAAATATCTTATTTGCTAAATTTTAGAATCAGTTGCAGGGCATACCACATGGCATGATTCCATGGACTACCTTCGTTTTTTGTAATTTAGAGACAGGATCTTGCTATACTGCCCAAGCTGGAGTATAGTGACGATTCATAAGCTTGACCATAGCTCACTGGAACCTTGAACTCCAGACCTCAAGGATCCTCCAGCCTCATCCTCCTGAGTTGCTGGGATTACAGTTGTGTGTCACCATGTTTGGCTCCCTGGACTTTCTTTAAAGACTACCCAGGATTGCGTGTATATTATAGGATTTTCCCGAGGCATGGATGATAGTGGCCGTGGTGCCCAGCAAGAGGGGTGGGGAAGGTTGCCAGACTCCCCCCTTTGCCTTTCAACCAGAGCTCTTCACTTTTGACTTGGGTGGTCACACTCAAACTTTTGTTTAAGAAAATGGTTCAACTCTCTCTACAGCTGCATCTGCCCATCATTCATGACGGCTGGCTCGATTTCTTAAGCAGCTCCAAGTGTCTGGTGACCCTAGCCCGGGGACTTTCTCCCGCCTTTCTGTGCTTCAGAGGCAAAAGAACTGACTTCCTCCAGTTCTGAAGTTCACAGAACCTAGTGAAAAAACACTATATTGTTCGGAGTGGTGTTGCCTTAGCTAAATAGAAAGGCTGCAAGATTGCCCAGCACCCTGATGTTATGCTGGAGCTCCAGAGAGAGAAGCCAGATCAGATGCATCTGGTTCTTCCAAAGAAGCAATTCTCTAATACTTGCAGTAATCCTACATTAACAGGGTTACCATTTTCTGAAGTCACTTTGTGAAAATGATACTTCATAATCCCTTGTATAGAGAGGAGCATGGAAGAGAAGAAAGAGGTTCACGCTGGTTCCTAAATACCAGAGCACATTCTGAAATGTTTGGGAGACCAAGTGTAATCACAAAGACCCTTAAAAGTAGAAGATCAAGGCAGAAAAGTACGTTAGAGAGATTGGGTGTGATGTGAGAAGGATTTGACTGGTTGCTGGCTTTGAAGATGGAGGAAGGGTGTTGTGACCCAAGGAATGTGGATGGCTTCTGAAAACTGGAAAGGACAAGGCAATGGACTCTCCTCTAGAACTTTCAGAAAGAAATGTGGCCCTTACTACACCTTGATTTTACCCTTCTGAAACCCATGTCACACTCCTTATTTCCATTTATGTAAGGTAAAAAAAAAATTGTATTATTTAAGCCACACAGTTTATAGAAATTTGTTATAGCGGCAATAGAAAACTGATACATCTGTCGAAATAATTCTATTTTCTGTGTTCATTTACTATAGGTTTTCTTTTTTAACTTTATTAAAGCTTTCGAGACCAGCCTGAAAAAAAAAAAAGAAAGAAAATGGTTCTACTTTTATTTCAAAACCAAGGACCTCGAGGGTGAGGTCTAAACTTCTTAATAGGGTTCTTTAAATTTCTCCCAAATAGGCCTCCCAAGTAGCTGGGACTACAGGTACCCACCACAAAGCCTGGCTAGTTTTTCTGTTTTTAGTAGAGATGGGTCTCTTCTTGCTCAGGCTGGTCTCCAATTCCTGAGCTCAAGGAATCCATTCATCTTGGCTTCCCTGAGGGCTGGGATAACAGGTGTGAACCACCATCCCCAGCCCTGTGTGCCTTTGTTATAGCTCCCAGGTTTGGGATGTCCATTTCCTCACCAGATGGGGAGGTCCTGGAGGCAAGCTTTCTGTGCGCCCCCCCCCCCGCCCCAAGGCCACATGTTTTATATAGTAGACATGTAGCAGATGTGTGCTTACGTGCTCTGAAGGCAGTTTCCCAGAGAGAAACTGGGATTTCAGGCAAAGGTCTCAGCAGGGACTCACTCCTGTGTCCTGCAATTCCTGCCTCCTCCCAATGCTCTTGACAGCCTGGAGCCTAGCTTGGGTTCCCTTGGCCTATTGAAGGCCATTTCCAATGTTCTCATTCAATACAACCATTTGACTCATACTGGAATCCAGTAAGAGTTCAAGGGAGAACATTGTAAGAAAGAAGTTTGGGCAGAGGGAGGAGAGGCACAGGGCCTGGGGCAGTCGGCAGGGCTGGACTTCACCTACCTTGGCTGTAGCGGGAGTGGCTGGCTGTCCGCTGCCCAGTGGAGGGCTGAGGTCCAGCCCAAAGGTCCGTTATGAGACCCACTCAAGTTCTTGACCTCCAAAGCATACAGGCTGCTTGGTTAATTGCTCGTTTAAAGTCAATGCAGTGGGACACCTCCCTAGGGCCCCCAGATCCTGTGAACTCCAGTTCAGAGGAGGGTTGGGAGGTATTTATTTGGCAAAGTGTTCAGGCAGAGAGGG